ATCTCTATCTATCTATCTATCTATCTATCTATATCTCTATCTATCTATCTATCTATCTATCTATCTATCTATCTCTATCTCTATCTCTATCTATCTATCTATACATGGGGTACACCTGACACTTGTCCATCCATCACTCATTTTTCCACATGATGCAGATGGTACAACCACCCAAAAATCCAAAAATCACTACAATTGTTTTTTTTATCAGATCATGTAGAAAATGTCACCATCAACACAGATTTCCCCAACATCAAATCCTGCCTTTCTTTTTTCAAGAGCAGCTCAAAAACATCTGTGCAATTTCAGTGGGGGTGGGGGTGGGGTTTTTAAATAACTTTTCATTACAACTGTTTCCTTCATCATCAGATTTGTGGCAAATACAAAAACTCATACAAAAATGTGTTAAAAAAACAAAACCAGAAACCAGAACAAACACGATGCACACTAGATACACTAGCACTCTCCCAGATAACTGTCCAAAAGTAAGCAAAGATCAAACAAAGTCATTGGGTACAAAACAAAACGATCAGTCTCCAAATGAACACAAAATTATACAATTTGCTAGATGACATGAAGAAAAAGGGGCTGGGTGGATGTTTGCTGAACGGCAGATATCTTATTCTTGCCTCGTGAAGTAAAAGTGTAACTGACAAAATATGGGATAGGAACAGGCCACACCCATAAATCACCAGTCTCACTTTTAGAATGAGGACAACAATTTTTAACAAACAAAAACTACAACAAAATAACTAGAGTAAGCTGCCACTTACCTGCCCAAGGAGCTGTGGAAACATACATAGCATGATCAAGATCGAGGATGTTGCGGGCACTTAGAAAACAAAAAAATGGAATGAATCATGAAAGAAGTGAATCAAATGATGGCCAACCTTATAGGTTAGAGAACTGTTCTTTCCATACCAACATGGTCTACACCCTGACCGTTTCATTCACAAAGGCGTATTACAATTCAAATTTCTTCTGCCCAATGAGGAGTCCCAGTGCGTGAGAGGGAAAAACGTTTGACTGTCAATGCTTTACACCCAACCTTTTGCTCTCTCATCCTGCAAAATAAATCTCCACTAACTTTGATGCCTTAAGCGCGACAGCTACAACATCCTCCATCTTTCGTCCACTAAATGAAAGTTGGAGCTGAGTACGCACCTTGGGTTGCACAATTTCCATGCATCCAAAACTAACAGGACCCCCCCCCCCACCAAAAATGAAACACTCTGTCCCAAAAACTGGAATCACAAGAAAAGCTTTCAAAGCTTCAACAGCTGTTTATGGAAATTGGTGCACTCTCCCAAACTGCGACTCAACTCACAGAGCAGACATATTAGTACAAACATCTGCCATTCAACAAGTTTTGTCTGAAAATCGTGTGAAAACCCCCCCAACAAAACAACCCACTCAACGATGCTCAAGAAGTCCGAGCCAAGAACAGAACAGCCAGAACTACAAAGGGTGAGTACAAAAACACTAGCACCCTGCGCTGTACAAACGAGCTGGCAGAAAAGACTCTGCTAGGTCTATGACTGACCACTGAACCTTGCCCACGGTACTAGTCTCGAGTACTTGACCAAATGTGTTACAAGATTCCAACGTCCATCCCCACCCACAATTTGTGACATCATCAACTCAACGAGCACTGCTGTATTTTGGCCTGACCTCACAAATATCCTTTGTTTGAAGAGACGAGCTCAAGAGACATGAATGAAGAAAACCAGTTTCGACAAACACACGAGGAGCACAAAGGAAAGTGCAGGATGAAGAATATTGCTTTAGAGCACGTAGCCTGAAGTGAACATCATGCTAGAGAGGGCTGGGACTCTCCTGTGTTTTTTCATCACATCACCTGAGTCTAGACCCAACAACACAACCCTGCTGTGATGCACACTTGATCAACAACATTTAGCAGTTTTGTTTACAACCGAAGGAGAGAAAAACAGAACTTCTCTTTTAACAGCCATCCCGTGTTTCAGTTTGGACGCACTTCAGTCCAACCCCCCCCCCCTCTCCCAACTGTTTCACCACACACCCACCCATCTAAACAATCAAAGAAAATGTCCCACCACAGCATTACTTGTGTGTGCACGGGAGACTTTGGTAAAGTTTTCTAAGAAATACAAAATATTCATCTGCACTTTCCTTCCAGCCCTATGTGCAGGACAGGCTCACAGCAACACCCTTCACATATTGTACACAGTGGATGATGGCAAGGCTAATGATCAAACAAACATCGGCCGAGTGAGTGCATCACGGGTTGCCGCGGGTCCAGCCAGTGTTCAGTGCCGCTGACCCACAATGCTCCAGCGTCCACTCCTGCTGACCCACAATGCTCCAGCGTCCACTCCTGCTGACCGACAATGCTCCAGCTCTCAGAAGAAGTCGGCTCTCGGGCAAGACGACGACAGACAGCCTGCTGCAACTTCAGAATATGGCCAGACGCGGTACACACACAAACACACACACGCAGAGAAGAGAGAGCGAGCGAGATCATCCATGGTGATCAACGAGGAGTAGGCGGTGACGACGGTGGCCGGCCGGGGCTATTTGCCGGCCAGGGAGAAGGAGAGCTTGGGTCGGGCGTTTTTCTTGTTGAGGATCATCTCCTGATCCTTCTTGGAGCGTCTTTTGTCCTCCTCCTCCATCCGCTGCTTCTCCTCCAGCATCTTTCGTTGTTCCTCCACCAACTTCAACTGCTCCTCCGCCTGGAACGAGAGAAAAAACACAGACACGCTCGCTATTAGTTGCCACAACTGAACATTTTTAGGACAAAGGGCTTGTATCTAGCGGGAACTGTAAGGGTTTTCAGCGCCACCAACGACATGTCTTCAGAGAAGAAGGATGAAGGTTTTCAAGTGTCAAAAACAACATTGTTTTGGTAACTATAAATCTATGAAATAACTACACTAGGTTCAACCAGTCTTATCCTCCAACCACCCGCTACCACACACAGTCAATTAAAAAAAAAGAAGAAACAAAGTCTAGAAATGATAAAGTCACTTGCAAGTACTCACCACAGAAACAAAAGACCAATATGTAACTCACCATAAGTGCACAGCAAAACCAACAACCCGCAAAACTGCTGAACCAACAACAACAACAACAACAACAGTAACAACAACAGTAACAACTCACCAATTTCCGCTGAGCCTCTTCGATCTTCTGGTTGTTTTCCACCATGATGGCCTCCAGCTCTTCCCGCTTCTTCTTCTCCTCCTCCTGAAAAAGTGATGGCAGGCAGCTAGAGGCGTGCTACAATCTCAACCGACACAAAGAACAAAGGATCAGTCCAAACCGTTACACAAACATGGAAATGAAAAAACATTAGACCAAAAATATAAACCAACGAAATAAAACCAAAACAATACATGCAGAAGTCAGGTACATCAGATCTGTACGTATGTCTGCCCGCTCCCCGAGTCCAAGGGCAACAACCATGGAGCAAAAATGGCTGAAACATGAACAGATGACGCACACACGCAAAGGCTAAAGAAAATACACACTCAAACTAGAACGTTCACGCACAGCATTCTCAAGACAGATGATGGATGCATTGTCAACACAAACACAGAGGTAGTGAAATCAATACTTCAACACAGAGAGATAGAAAATGTTAGGACTATGACATCTACATCGACGAGGGCATACCTAAAATATAGGTCAAGAGAGTGTCACTGAAAAAGCTCATGAGGCCAAAAAAAAAAAGAAGTATTGAACAATTTACCTGGAATAAGATGAACTACAGAGGAAAGTTTTTAAAAAAAGCATTTGTACTTCTCTTTAGGCTTAACCATCACCCACCATTACGGTGCAAAAAACACTGAATTAAAAACCAAATCAAGCACACTCGCACATACAACACGTTCATAAAGCAATTCTCAACGACACACGAGAGATATAATAAGAGAGAGAGAAAAAAAATGTCCTTGAAGATGAGCGCCATCATATCTGTGGAGGGAGGCACAAATCACATTCTTCTAACATCACAACATTCAAACAGTCTACAGTACTTAGACACAGATAATAATCATACTATACACTTGGTAAGGCATACTTTACATCTAGAAGCAGAAATGAAAAAAAAACCCTATCCCATAATCATTATAAACATTTTATTTTCATGTTACACGAACAATGATTATGACAAACACACTGATAAAAATGTAAAGGTTTCCTAGAAAAAAATAATAATAGAAGACAGAAAACAGTAACAACCACAAACGATGAACAAGAAAAATAATAACAACCTAACGGAACTGACACACATACATACACTGACTTAAACTTTATGAAAGACTGCATAGAACATGAGATCTACATACCCAAGTGGCATAGGCGTACCTTGAAGGGTTATTGATTCCTTTCTTGAAGAGGCAGCAAACTTGTCAACATATTTAACACATCTGCACCTCAGGGCCATGACAGTAAACAACACTAAAGAAACAAACTACCCCAACTTACAGAGGGTAATTTTGTCTACGGGAACAAAAAGGGGTTTCTTTTTCTTTTTTCTTCCCTTGCTTTCTCCCTTCCTCAACACCAGAGAAACACACTTTGTACAGTGGCTTCCACACTCCAAGCACTCAATTCATTCAAACAGCCAATAAAAAGAATGAAATTGCAGCATATGCAAAAAAGAGACAGATTGGTGGGAGACTATATGGAGAATGCTAGAGAGGGTGACCAAAAAAAAAAGGACTATTTATAAGCAAAGGGGTCAAAAAGAAAGGACATTGTGGAACAACTTGAAGATGCTGACGTATCAACTCACTGTACCCCGAGAACCAAAGCTGCCGAAGCATTAACACTTTTCACCTTTAAAAAAATCTTCCCTTTTACAAACACCTTTCCAACCTTCTTTTTTTCCCTTACATCCAAATGGGCAGGGACCCCCC